TTTCTAATATTTTCAAAATAAGTCCTACCAATTCCCAACATATTGAGATAAGTTTCTTGACAAAGAGGTGTATTGTGGTCCCAATGATAGAAAGTTCTTTTTTTAGATCTGGTTTTCTTTTTAAGACATCTGCTGGTGCTTGTTAATCCACCATCCATTGCCTTAAGTTGGGCCATTAAGAATATGTCTTGTTCTGTTCTGGAAAGAGCTTGAAAAGATTCTCTCAATTCTGCAAAATTTTACTTGGGAATTCTTGAAGAACAATGACAATCACAACCTTTTTCTAAAAAGTTGAGTGCCTTTTCATATTCATTAGAGCCATTATTACTTTTCATATACACTTATCCCTATATATACAATTTTATGTTCACTTTGTAGGTTTTCCTTTATTTAAAATTAAAGAGATTCTAAAATTGGTCCTGTGGTGATGAGCAAAGTGGGCAGAAAAGAATTAAATTTGAGTGGATCTGCAAATAAAGATCAGAAATATTTTCATGTACTGTATATATTCAATAATTGATATAAAAGAGAAAATAAAAATCCTCAACTGGTTCCATGAAAAATAATTATGTTAAGATTAAATTATTTATTATTACTAAAAATGTATAAAATAAAATTGTGGAAATTTATTATCTTGAGACCTAAGATTTATTTCTAAAAAAACAATTGAAGAAAGTGTTAATTATACTAAAACAGTGGAACAGGTTTTTTTTATTTTAAAAATTAGTGTGTATCATTTTTTTGATCTAATAAAATAAAAAACTTATTTGAATTTACTAAAAGAAGCAAATAAGCAAATGTTTGAATTTATTAAAAGTGATTTTATTTTGGTGTGGCTTTTTCAATTAGAAGCATTTTTTAACTTCTTTTATTAAAAGGAAAAAAAAATTTACCCTTTTTTGGATACCAGTTTTGATCCCATTTACCCCATTTTGCACAGTAGTTCATCAAAAAAATCACTATTTTTACCTTGCTAAGGTACATGGGTTATCATAGAATTATTCAGTGTCCTGCTAAGAACCTCTCACAAAATACCATTGTATATATATAACTTCTGAAAAATCAGTTTCACTGTATATTAACCTTTTATACTAATTTGTTAATTAAGTTGTAATTTCAATAATAAATTCGATCAACCAGTAATATGTATCACAGAAAAAAAAATAATTTGTGTGACTGCTTGATTCTTATGATAAACCAAATTAATTAATTACTTACATTCTTTGTGAAAAAAATTTTTTCGCCTTTATCTCAAAACCATGTCCAATGAAATAATCCATGAATACTTCAATCAAAAATCATCAGAATGGTGTATTCTGGATTTTCTTAATGAGTGTAGTGCAGAAACTTTCAAACAGAAGATAGACATTTATATCAAATCTCTTGAAACCATTATTGATTGTGAGCAAGACAGAAGGTGTAAAAAAGCAAAGTTGCTCCTTGGTCAATATAGGATGGCAAGTAAAGAATTTTTTTTTCTGTTTTGAAATGAAGTGGAAATAAGTGATGTGGCGAAAATCTGCTCATTCAAAACTGTTTGTTGAGTCACAAACCAGTAATGGAGCACAGATGACCTGCTTGTTTGTCTGATGTTAAAAGACTGTTTGTCGATCCAGCACTGGACCCATTGAGCACAGATGATCTGCTTGATTGTCTGATGCTTTGATGGGATCAGAAATTGGTTGGGAATTAGGGATGTGCTACTTGAAGAATATTACTAATTTCCAAATTTTCCATGATAGGGGCCTGATTATAAAATAGCAAGAGAATGGAATAAGGAGCATTCACATAGACAGATCCATCTCCACCAACCAACATTTACAAGTGGTGGAATTAACAATGTGAATATAAGCGGAATCACCAACAGTGGAACTTTTGTTTCTGGATTGTCCAAAAAAATTATACCCAAAGGAAGCCAGGAAGAGGTACAGATGTGCATTTTTTTTTAGCTATAAATTGCGAATCAATAGGACTAATGGTTTTGTATTTTAATACTTTAGGATGATGGTTCTGAAGCAAGAGCTTCCAAAAAAAATCACCAAGACACTGGGGACATACACATTATGCTACCACCACATTTGATATTAGCTGAATCTGTGGAAATCATTGATGACTCAAAAAATGATACAGAATCAATTGACATCAAACATGGTGAAGAAGAAATCAGGAGGCTTTCACTGGTATTTTTGCTTTCATTAGTCTTCATTGTTTTTTTATATAATAATTATGTTTACTCTTATTTAATTTATTAGGATGAAATTGGCATTTGGAATAAATTACTTGCAATTTTGACTTCACAACAAAAAGAAGATAAGAAATCTGGAAAAGATTGTGTATCATCTATATCCCTAAATCATATTATAGATTCATCTAATAATGAAGTATTCAAACAAGTTAATAATACATTAAATGAAAGTCAAACTGAATGGCTCAATATGGTTCTCCGAAAAAAATCTTGGAAACAAACAGATGAATTTCAACAGTATATAAGCCAATTTACTGAGATATGTGTGATAGAGTAAACATTCCAATTTTGGTTCAGGAGTTGTTTGTTCCAAAGGGATCATTTAATTCTTATTGTTGTGAAGCTCATGATATCATGCAACACATTTGTGAGTGTTTACTTTGAATATTTGTCAATTTACCAGTAGATAACTTAACTAATTTTTTTACAAATAGTTCTGTCTGCCTAGAAGCACCAATGAGAATTGAATCCAATAGCCTTGACCCAGGGTTGGCAAATTGACTGGTCCATTGAGAACAGATGGATTTGGACTGGTCCATTGCCATTAATAAAATACTAAAT